TTTTTCAAATGGGACGAGGGTGGTTCATTAGTATATTTAGAAAAAAACATTTTTTACGAATAATTTGATACCACACACCACACACTTAGTTTTTCGAGTCAAATTGTTGTTACATTACTCTAAATTAAAGTAAATTAAAGTTTAAAATGCTATTTTTTTTTAATTGAAAATGTCAAAAGTTGACATATGCTATTCATTCTATTCAGAATATCATTTTCTATCAAATGAAGTAAAAAAAAAAATTTCCGGTGAAACTGGAAGTGACAGATAAGAATTGAATACGTCAATCAATCCTAATTTATGCCATATACTAACATAACAAATCTCGTTTTTTATCTGAAAAAAAATAAAAAAGTTATAGGGGTGAGCCACTTTCGAGATGTACCCGGTATATATCATTTTCAAAATTTTATTATTTGTTAAAGAAGCATTATTCGACGTTATAATTTAATACAAACACATTAGCGATTAGCAGACACTTTTATATTCTAAATAACGTCTTTTAGTTCATATCTCATTAAAAGAAAAAACAAAAAAACGTTAAAAAGTTTAAAAGTTAAATTTCAGTTAGCAACTTAAATAAAAAGTATACTTGATAACAAATTATAATTTATAACATTGATTTTCAGTGCTATAGTCTGCCCAACTAGAGGATTCCCGACACTGATAGTGGATCCCTGAGCCGTATCTGTCGTCTGTCATTTTTTTGGATGTCGTCTGTCGAAATCTTTCCCGAGTAGTTGAACAGGCAGCAAATTAAAAAAATATGGTATTTAAGATAATTACCAAAAATAATATATTTCCTGATAGGCCAGAAAGCGAGGATAAAAATAGGGTATTACCTCCGAATTCTTGACACCCGCGCCGATTGACGTGAAATTTTAATAGTGAATAGAGATTGATAGAGATATATGTAAGAAACAGAAGTTAGATAGTAACGATGTGCGTTTTCACCTTGGGGGTGAGCGCCACCCCTTCTCAGGGGTGGAAAATAAATCACCCATTGCAAAAACCAATAAAGTAGTTTTCTAAGTAAAAATGTTCTATAACATTTTTACAGAAAATTAATATTTTTCGAGTTATTTAGGATTGAAAATGTTAATTTTTTTATCTAAAAACTTCATATTTTTCTGCTATTACGCGTTTTTCGCAAAACTCATTAAAGCAAAAATGAAGCATTTGGAATAACGAATGGACTCATTTTGTGCAATCACCCCCTGAAATTTGGCCGCACATTTTTTCAGCACCCTGTACTATAATAAAAAAAGTTAATACAAACCTGTATGTCTTTTGCGATGTAATTTCCACTGGGATGAGGTTGTAAAACTCTTGCCGCACAAATCACAACAAAACGGTTTTTCACCGGTGTGAATTCTTTTGTGCTCTAGTAAGTTTCCCTTTTGCGAAAATGTTTTATGGCAGATATCACACTCGTAAGGTTTTGTACCTTCATGCCATCTAAAAATGTTGAATAGGTATGAAGATTTAAACAATGGTAAGTAAATTGGAGCAATGTAAATAAAAATAGAAATAGTTTTATGTTGGTAATACTGAGAAGTGTCAAATACATAGTTGTCTGATGATTAAATTTGATATCACAGAGAATTTTGTACAGCGACTGACCGTTATTGCTGTGTATCAAAATAGACCGTTCAGGGAAGTCGTTTTCTCAGCTACTCAGCCGCTATAGTTTATATATTTATTATAGTTTGTTGATACGCCCCTTCCTTTGTCTTTTTATTCAGTGGATCTATTGAAGTGAAACTTCCTTACGCGCGTTGGGAGTAAAGATTCAAGGTCATGACACACGAGCTAGCGTCAGAAAAAGTGGTAACGATCGGAGGTTAAGATGGAGCGTGATATGATATTTTGACGACGTTTCATGTACTATGAAACTCCATCATCAATGGCGAAAAAATCGTCCGATTTAATGGGTCTTTGGAGCGTCGTAACTCAAGCCCTATGTGAGCCAGGGGGACCGAAACTCGGAATGTAAAGGGGCTGAGAATCAACCTTTAAATGGAATTTGGTATATCGATGGATTGGACCAAGGCCAACTTGATCGTGTACGACACGTATCACTGCTAGTTTTGACGTAAGAAACGTCAAAGTGTTATCATCGTCCGATCGCGACCAAATTCGGTGGGGGCTAGGCTATGTGAGCGACGGTGCACACGATCCCACCTTGCAAAATTCGATACGACGCGCGACGTTTCGTTTACATCTTCATCAGAGAGGGACTAAGGATTTAAGATTGAAGAAAAATGTGGGTTGATTGCGGCATAATTGGGGACGAGCTACAGGATAACGCACTCGACGTTTCGAACCGATGCCTCTAAATTGACAAAATCATCAGGGATTTTTCTTAATTACGGGTCGATTGGAACTAAACTTGGCACGTGGATAGAAGTACTCGAATTGAGTCCCCACACGGACAGACAGACAAATGAAAAAAGAAGTACCACTTCAATTATGCGCACATAGTGCACAAACAATTTTTTGTATCAATTCAAATCTCACCTTAGATGAATAGTCAGCGACGTCTTATGTCCAAAGCCCTGCCCACATATTGGACAGATAAATCTTTTGTGCCGTGAATGAATAATTTCGTGGTTTATCAGATTACTTTTCGTTTTAAAAGCTTGAGGGCAAGCACTACATTTATGCGGTCTTTCATCTGTATGTACCAGCTGATGCCTTTGGAGCAACTGTCTATGCTTAAACGTCTTATTACATGTATTACAAATAAATCTAGAGATGGACAATTTATATTTTATTTTTTGACTAAATTTTTTAAAATATTTTACCTTCGGTTGCCGTGCTCTGTATCTTTATGGTAAACGACACTGCTGACATGATTGAAAACTTTATCACATTGGTCACAAGAAATCTGATCCAGATTATCTTTGTTTTTATGGGAAATCATATGATATTTTAAACTATAAGCATATGCAAAAGTCCTGGATACAAACAAAATATATTATTAAAATATAATCTTAGACTATGTCTTTTTACCTTTCACAAATATCACATTTAAATGGCTTTTCACCATCATGAATTGCCTTTATATGAACCTCATAACTTTGCTTGCAGGAAAAATTCTTATCACATTTAGGACATTTAAATTTGTTCTCATCAGTTGTATTTTTCTGTTCTTCTTCTGTGGTTAATAAGTTAGAAGTCTCTTCAATATTGTTTAATTTGTTTTTTTCATCTAATATTACATCGCCATTCTTAAAAAAAATAATACATTTAATATACTTACAGGTTGGTCCTCCGTTCCAAAAAAAACTCTATCAGATTTCTGCACCAATCTTTTTTATGATAGATGGAGTGGTATCGCACATATTTTAACAACATTTTGTCAATATACAGGATGATTCAAATATATTTTTTAAATTAAAACTGAATATTTTTAAAGGGAATACTATTTTTTCGCTCAGCGTGTTTGCCATAAATTCCAATTCTAAAATACCATACTGTCATATTTATTGATTAAATTATACTTTATCCTCATAGTATATGACTATTTAATTTTTTGATTATGTAATGGGCACTTTTTTTACTCACTTGTTTCGTTGAACTACCTGAATCCATTTTTGCTTTTGACCAAATCGGTGTGATAAAGCTGAGAAGTTGCAAAATGTTGTTCCGGGAGAGTTATATAAGTGTTATTGCACCCAACAACCACGCAATTATGCTATCGTGCTTTTCGTGTTTACATTTTTTCGGCAATTTGATTATCAATTGAAATTGTCACAATATAACGCGTCGCCCAGTTTGGGTTCTTTTTCACTTAATTTTCATTACCCGAAACAGCGTTACATCACACAAACTTCGTACCTGAGATTTTTATAGTTTCAAGAACTGCACTGGTAAAATACAAAAATACTTAAATATATGATAAACCCACGATTTTAATATTTCAATGCCATCAACAGGACCGGTAACCCAGAGTGCGTGAAATACAGAGCCGGAAGGTTTCGAGTTCTGCCGTACCAAGCGCTGCTGTCGAAAATTTAAAAATAGCCTGAAATGCATCAAGCCCAACTTTCGAAAATTGACCACTTTTAGACAAAATTATTCACACATTATTATAGCACTCCAAAAATTATAGAAAACAAATTACTTGTAGATATTTAATTGAAAATATTTTATATAGAGTACTTTTTAAACTACATGATATATACAGGGTGAGTCAAAAACTGATATTATTAGAGTAGTTGCATATAGAGCGAGGAAGATTTTTTCAAACGCGCTCGCTCACTATTATCTACTATCTTAAATAGAACATTTATTACCTGCAAATTCTATAAAAAAAGATTGGAGCAATAAGCTTAAACCAGAAAACTGATATATTTTTTTCTGCCTCATGATTTAATATAAAAAAAATAGAAAACCTTACACAACTGTCTTCCTGAGATAAAGCAATACCATGATGGTTAGTTTCTTTTTGATGATTCAAAATAATATCTTTATTTTCACTTCTCACTTGGCAATTTTCTTCTTGGCATGCATACATTACCTTATGATCTTTTCTATGTAATTCATATTGATCCAAATGTAGGAACTTTCTTGAACAAATATCACAAGTATACTTCATTCCTTAAAAAAACTGTTGCAGAAATTACAAACAAAGATAAATAGTTACTACTGTTCAGTTTCCTTTTCATCCTCTTTTTACTTGATTTTCTATTTGAAAATACTGACTGTCCTAAATCTTGTCCCTCTGAGCTTAGTATTTTTCCTATTTCTAAGAATAGTCTGTAAATGTTTTTTCTAATCCAGTAAAAGCTACCTCTTCAACCTCATCCAAAACACCTTCCTTTTTTAAAAAGTGATCAAGCTCTGCACCCTTTCAGATATAATCATTATTATAATTATAGCAATTCAAAACATGAAAGTATGAACTCAATGAACTGTGGTAAACACTGGCCCTACTTCCGTAACAATCGCTACATTCGGCTGGAGCTCTTATTTTCTTTTTTTCTATCATTTCTAACAACTGTTTCGTGAGTATCATCTTTAGAATTGGTCTCAATTACTGAGTTTGCAATCTTCTCTGAAAAGTAGTAAAAAATAAATTTGTTCCACAAACTACATACTAAAAATACTAACCAGCTTCATGACTATTTTCTTGTTTCGATGGTTTTGGAGGTCTTCCCGTTTTTTTTTGGTTTACCCAGCCCGTCGGCTTTTAGAACTAGTTCATGTTCTGGAGAAAATAACGGTCCTTTGCTATAAACTGAAGCAAATTTCAAATAAAACTTAAATTACAATATCCAAACACAATTATCTTTGTATAATAAATTTTTCCCCATTTTCATCAGTTTGTATGGTATATGTTTCAACACTAGCATTGGGATTGTGATGGTGTAATGCTGAGTTCCTTTTCCTTTTCTTCCCTCTCGAGTAAATCTTGTTCGGCTTTTAATAAAATCCTGAATTTATCTTGACCTTCAATAATTAAATCCATAAATAGTTTAGTTGTTTCTAATTGTATGTGGCACCCAGGACATATTGTTTTAGGTAGAGGATCTTCTTGGGTTACCTATAAAAAGGAAATTTGATATAAAAATTTTGCCATATTTTAGTTTAAACCTCCCGCCTATATAAAAAAATTATATCGGAACTGAGGTAATCAAATTCACTACTTAAATATTTTTTAAATATACCTTTAGAGGTAAATATCTGTTTATCAAATTACACACTTCTTCGGAATTATCATCGCCTGAAAATAAGTTGATTCCGTTTTCATTTTCTGTGCAACATAATCTACAATATGTAGAATTAAACAATAACTTTTCAACCTCCATCTTAAAATTTGATTAAAACATCTTTTGACTCATTTCCATTGCTCATTTCCCACTATTATTTTTTTGACTTTGCGTTGACGTACAGATAGCGTTTTTTGAGTTGCCTATACTAAAAAAAATATTTTCGCGCTTAAACTGTTTAAACGAGACTTTTTAATATCGTAGATGTATTTTATTCTTGACTTTACAATAAAATATGTATTTAAGTAAATTATTATTAAACCAACATATAAAAAAACAAACAATTTGAGCTGTTTGACATATAAATAAGTTTAAAAACTAACAAAAAATGTTTATGAAAACAATTAAAGAAAACATTATATCGTGTCCGTTGGAAGTAGACTTAAATGTTGAACAAAACGTTGATGCATATTAACCTGAAATACTCGAGGTTCATAATCAGTTACAGCTGTACGCTTTTTTCAATGAGTTTCAGTTTTATTTTACATGGTATAGTTTTGTTAAATATTTTTTCATTGTAAAATAAACGCGCGAGTATAATGTGTACATTAGTACAGGATCTGACGCCATACGCGATGGTCTGTAATAAAAATATTTCTATCGTAAATTGTGTAAATTATTATTAATTTTAAAGGATAATATAGGAGTGAAACATGTTGGAACGTACAAAACGTAAATTGTGATGTCTTTAAAATACTAAAGGTAAAGTAACCTGTAATTTATGTCGTTATTAATAATAAATGTATATTGAATAAATTATTATTTTATTCTACTTAGTTTAAAGATGCTACTGTAAAATTACTAATGCAAAATATATTTCTTTCTTTCTATTTATTATTAATAATAATCAATATTACGTTAGTTAATATAGTGTAACAATTTGGAAAATAACAATCGCGAATATCTGTTATAAAAATACCATTAGAAAAATCTCAAATTTACATATATTGTGGGATATAGAAGAGGAATCAGTAGGTACTTTTTGAGTCCCACAACCCTTAAAGGGTAACCAGCCGTAACCACCTGCTTTATTTTATTATAAACCTGTATTGTGTAGCACATTGCCGAAAAAAACGTATTTTAAACACCGAAATCTGAAAAACTAGTTTTTAAGATATCGGTATTTAAAAATAAGCAACATTTTAAAAAACTAGAAAATTTATACATTCTCTTAAATAGGAAAAAAAGCTAGTTCCCTTTGTAATTTTCCAATATGTTTTTTTAGGTCTTCCTGGCAATATTTTTTTGTAAGAGATATTATTTGCTACTACTTTTCAAATTGCCACCCTGTATCTTTTCTTAAAATCATACGTATTCATAGATATATCTAGTAAATATTATGAGGAAAGTTTTTCAATTACATGTCTATGTTTATATTTTTGCCTCAACTAATAACATAATATTCCAAAGAGGTAGAAGTTCATATTTGTTCATATTCTATGTATTAATAAAGATATACGCGGCTTTTAAATCATCTCAAAGCACTTAACAATATTTCCAAACAATTAAGAAGCAAGCGATAAAAGTCACATACAAATGGTCATAAAATTTTATCAGTAGACTTTTGTGTATGAACTTATTTACAAATTTACATGCAATATATTACATCTTTAAGAGTCCTATACCAGTATTTGGCAAAATTAGTTGTCAAATAACGTAGCCAATGAATTTTAAATTGTTTGGTAGTGTTATTGAATCCAAGGAAATGTGTTGCTTAATTTAAAACAATTAATCAACGGAACACGTACGTTTTGATGTTCCATTATACTATTCGTTGTTCAGTTAACATTCTTTTTAAGTTGAGAAGAAACCAGTGTGTGTGTGCAATACAAAATTGATTTTTTATGTACCAGAACTTAAAAATTTCCAAAAAAAAAAAAAAAACTATTAAAATTATTTTTTTAAATTATTATGAGAAATGTACACCTCTATAACTTTTTAATTTTTTTTTAATTAAATAAAACGGGATTTGCATGTTAGTGTACGACATAAATTACGATTGAATAACGTATTCAATTGATCAAAACTTTTGATTTTTAACTGAAAAAATAAAAGTTATGGGGGTGAGCCACTTTTGAGGCGCACCCGGTATATATCATAAAATCAGCCACGAAAAACATTAAAGGCCGTAATATTTTTCGTGGCTGATTTTATTAACATATTTTTTTATTAATATTTATAATATTTAATAATTTTTCAATAACATAATATTTTTACTTTATACAATATGATGTAATAAAAACGATGTCATAGTAGGTATAGATAAACTACAGAGATAAACCATTTTTGCTTACTACATCAATCGCTAATGTTCTTGAGACTGCTAGCTGATCCTCCTGTTTAAAGAATATTTTAAAATAATACCATTGATAGATCATTTCTGAAAAAATGTTTTGGACATTTTACTTGAACAGAAATTATATTTACATCTACTATGACGATCGTTTTTATTTCATCTCATGTTATCGACCCACTTAATATTTCTGTTGTATGCACTAATAATATTGAACTTGTATATTGGCATTAGATAAAGTTTTGTTTGTGCTGTTAGTTACTCATTATATTACACTTACTATCACATTAGTGTTCATTTGAAAAAGATGGGATATGACGATGCCAGATATACAGAGCGCTCGAACGAAGAAGAACAGAAAACACAGAAAAAATCCGGTGGTTCTCAAAATTTAAGCAGAAAATCATTTTTTTTTAATTTTTAAAGTAAAAAACTTATTTGAAAAACGATAAAGAGAAAATATGTTTTCTTTTTTTCGAAATCTACCAGCCCAGAAAATATTTGCACTTATTTAAGACCCACTCTGTGTAGAAATTAGGAAGGAAAGCTCTCATTTCTAATATACACGGTCGGTAACGCTTTGCTTTGGGTGCCAATTTTCGTGTGTACGAAGAGTACAGTCAATTTGTCAGTACACGCATAATACATTCCGACTCAAGACTTTCTGTTGCCGACAGGGTATAGTTTACTGAAGACTTTTATTAAGCCTATTAAGTTTACTTTATAAAATATTTTTTGAATAACAAAAAGTAGAAAAGATGGCTTGCGGGGAACTGGAATTAGAAGAAGAGTTAATATAACTTATTTATTATGATATTATGTAAATATAAAGTAACAATAACAATAAATAATAAAAAAAATGTAATAAATATAACAAAATTTTCAAATTTTTAATATGACCAATATGCTAATATTGTATCTTAGGCGTATTTCTTTTTATAACATAAACAACATGTTAATAAAAGAAATAATAAAATGCCTAAAGAAACTCCGACCAAAATGATGTTAGTGTAAAAGTCATACAATATCGATGATTTTGACGTTTGTATAGTTTTTCTATTTACAATTGGTGGTTGAACTCGAAACACTAGTTCAGATTCCCAGTCTTCAATTTCATTGGAGGCATTTTTTTGCAAGTTTTCATGAATTTGCTCGTACAATTTAACGGTGGCTCTTTTAGTTTTTGTTCTTCCAGATGTTTTTTCTTGGCAAATATCGGACTAAAACAAAAAAAAATTATTATTTATATATTAAGGTATTATTAAATAAATAAAAAAGTATATTTTTTAGCCTTTCTTAAAAAAAATATTAAAAATACCCGTTAACTGTCCTGAAATCAAAACTATATTAGGTATTTGGTTTAGATGGTCTGCACTTACTTTGCTATAAATATGGTAATCGTAAATCATACAGGATGTTCAAAATTCTTCGCCAAGCTTTCTAAAATATAAAATAATTTTTCTTCGTTTTTTTTTAATGGAACACCCTGTATATTATTTTTTCAATAGATGAAGAATTAAGAAATGAACATTTTTTGTATTTAGTGCATTTCAAAATTCTTAATGGTTTCGCAGATATTTGTGGTTTTATATTTTATATGGCATTTTCCACAGTAAATTTTTATCAAAGCCACCATAATTTTTCTCTCGTATTTTACCGTTGAGAGAGCCATATGAAATAATACTACGTGTACAGTGCGTCTGTCCGTTCTGTAGCTACGGGGTATCCGCGAGAGGGGAAACGATATTCTCTCGATGTTTTTCGTAAAAAATTAGAGGACACGTCCCATCAATAAAAATTCGACAAATTTGCAAGTAGCCAATAAAATGAGTGGGCGGAGCGATTTGCGGTGACGTACTCGTCAAGTCGACGTATAAAATATATAGCTGTAATGTTTTTTGTCCGCATTCCTTTCATAGACACAGATCCAGCAGACGCACTTTATCTGCGAAACCATTAAAAATTTTGAAATACTTTAAATACAAAAAATGTTCATTTTTTAACTCTCCATCTAATAAAAAATAATATACACGGCGTTCCATTAAAAAAATAGAAAAATTATTTTGTATTTTAGAAAGATTGGCGTAGAATTTTGAACATCCTGTATGATATAAGATTGCGATATTTATAGCAAAGTTAAGTTTAGGCTAGATATTATACCTAATATATATTAGTCCGTCTAAAAAGTATCTGGAATTTTATATTTTTCCTAATTTTAATGTATTTTTTTTCTGTAACACTCTAAGACAACAGTAATCCATCACGTAGGTTGTGCCGATAGTAGGCTATGACCAAAATCGCATGGCAACACCATCTCTTAAATATTGTTGATTGTAAACCGGCTTAAGATTTGAGAAATAATGTCGCAAGTAAAAAAAAGAGAAATGGTGGAATATTTGTATAGAAAAAGTGTTCGAAATGTTAAAAAATTAGTGCAATTGACTAAACTCGGAAAAAGTGCAGTATATGAGACAATAAAGAGGATAAAAAATGGTACAGATATAAAGCATGGATCAGTTCCAGGGAGACCGCGTAAGATTCGCGAAAACAATTTTAACGCTATAGTGGCATTAGGACGACAGAATCCACGCCTAGGGTTTCGCAAATTGACAGACAACAGATTTGGAAGTCAGCGAAAATTAAAAGTGTGTCCAGAAACCGTCCACATGTCACTGAAAAGATATACAGGCCCGGCAATGGATCTCTAGGCATAGGAATTACATGCATTGGAATGAAACGCCTATAAAAAGTCTATGCTTAAACAGAGATGGACAACAACTTCCCCGTTTCCACTTCCACTACGACTGTCTACTTAGACAAACTCCAATAAGATTTTGGAAATTCCGCCACCTCCCATCCACTCATGATACCCATCTCCCTGCCCTTTATTTATCGCCATTATTTTATTTCCCTTCCCGCGCCCCCGCACCTCGCTATTCCGACTACCGTCAGTTCATCACAGAGTTGCCAGGTCTACCGGTTTCGTCTGTAAGCTACCGATCTACCGATTTAAAAGAAAAATCTAACGATATATTCAACTGCGTCTTTAGTTTTTACAATAGAAGCACTTTTAAAAAGCTGACTTATTTGACTAAAAATTAAGCGACTGCCGCGTTGGAATCTGTATAATCTGACTTTATTATTGTTTCATTAAATTTTATTTAGTAATAACACACATACAGGTCATCGTTCTGTCTAGTTGCAGAGTTACAGAGATATTCCTAAAAATCCTTTTACTCCTTATTAGGCGCGGTCCTTGGGCGCGGTATTGGCGACATGCCCGAAGAAGTTGATATCTTTGAAAAGATTTTATTTCATTCATCTACTAAAGTTGAACCCATATTTTCCCCCAAAAAATGTAAACAAAAAACAAAATTTAAGTTAAGAAACAACCTAAATTCGGACAAAT